CCTTTAAAGATTAAGAGAATCCTTTCTTAACGTTACTACCACCATCAACATGGTACACACGTGGATCTGCAGACCTTGTGAAAAATCAGTCTGGGAAATACTAAACTTTTAGATTCAGTACCCTTGATAGTCTGTTCCAACAGATAGCAGGAATTGGATGGCAGTTCCAACCTAATTCCTGAAAGAGGGCTGAGCATCATGTGTAAAGGACTCAATCCGAGCTCTCCCAGAAAGACCAAATGCTGTCAGGAGAAACATTCGAGAAAGGAGAAACCACAAAAACATGGATTTTGAAGCTGTTTTACACTAAAAATGTTAACTCTTCTAGTCTCTTTCCTTTTTTTAAATGAACACAAATTTCTATTCTTCAGAAGACCCCTAACCATTCTGCATATTTAAGTGCTACACATCAAAAAGATGTGAAGTAGTACCATGAAAGGAGAAATGGAGCATGACGGCTCTTTGGCCAAGTCTCAGCTCCTGGCATGTTAATCGATGGCTCACCCTGAACTCTAACAACCCCCTGGTCCAGGGCTCTCTGCAGCCACACAGCCTGCTTTTTTCATAATCTGATATTATAATTTCAGAAATGCTTAATCTGTGTCAAGTCAGAGAAGTGATGGTTTCCTTTTTAAAAATGTTTAAATGCAGAAAAGCTGGGATACAGTATTAATACTTAATGAGTCATTCTGAGTGCTACTCCGCAAACAATTACTGCTAAAATATAATCCTATTATTAAAAATTATAATGTTTTCAGAGACTGCTTGTCATTCAGCCACTTAATACTCCTTACTTTAAGTAACACGAGTAGATGTCATTGCAATTTATGTTTTATTTATTATCCTTTTAAGATCTGCTTTCTTAGATGCAGTTTATTCTTTAAACTGAAAAAGTGACTAATCTTGGCTAATTACATCTGGTATTTCCACAGGTTAAAATATTTGGGTTAGACAACATAAATATTTTATATGGAATGAATTCTAATACCTTACACTATATATGTTTCTTTTTTAATTTGGGATTTTAATATAAAATATCATCCCTTAGTGGATATACAATTAATCTATCTACATCAGGTATAAAAACAACTATATAGTCCACCTCTATTTAAAAGTATCACTCTCTACTTGCATAGTCCAATAAACAAGTGGGAAAAGGCTGAAGACAAATGATGCTTAGCAATTAGTTATGCCAAAACAGTACAAATGTGTCAATAATAATGGCCATGTCAAATTCTCAAATAAAATCTTTTAATTCTGACACTGGTGTTTGCTGGTGTTCATGCTCTCAACCTTTCATTGAAGAGCTAGTATCTCCTTGTTAAGGACTATCAAAAAGTACCATATGGATTACTGTGAAATAGGTATGTGGATTTGTAACTTGACCTCAGAAATTTCACCAAATGACCTACGGTTAGGCTGTAATCAAACCATCGCGGCACTAATATTATCCCCCAAAAGACTCAGGTCCCCCCAGCAGATCGTGATCAATGTCATATGTTCCTCTATCCCCTTCATTATTACTTGGAATAATCCCTTCCCAGTCTTTTGCTCACCTGTTCCTCCTCACCCAGTGCCCATACACCAATCTTAAAAAAGTCTTTGGGTCAGTGAGTATATTAAAACAAGGTTTTCAAACTTGCAAAGTGCTGAACCATACCTATGTTTAGGTTTTGTATCTACAATTGGTTTTGGAGGCATAGACTCCCTCTAAGAACACTAGCCACCTAGTGAATCCATTGGAAGATGGGATCGGGACTGAACCTAACTTCTTTGTGCTTCGCCTGGCATAAGCTCTCTCCTGGGATTAGCAGAGTTGGAGAAACTAAGAATTCAAAGTGAAACATTTTAGAAATGGAATGGGAGGGAAGGAAAAAAATCTTCAGTAGGTGGCACTCTTTCCTTAAAAATGTAAGTTAAGTGACTTACAATCAAAGATGTCATCTGCCCACTAATCACTTGAAAGAGAAGGTACATTAATTCTGGCATCCTATCCCAAATATAGTCTGCATCATTACTTTCTACCTACATAGTGTCTTCTTCATTCAACAGAATTCTGGAGATATTTATAAATATGCCAATTTCTTCTCACAACACCAAAAGCTATAATTTAGTAGAACCAAATAATTGCATTTATTTTAAACTGGCAGGTTTGAATTAAGACTCAGTCTGGTATGTGCTTCAAAAGACACTCATCACAATCATTTTCTAATTTTAATGAATTCAGTTCTAAAAGAATCCTCTGAAAGGAAATGGGACAAAGGGGTATGCTTATAATATGTAAGTATTATTGTATTATTCCTGTTTTAAAACATGACAGCAACCCTTTTTTCATAAGCATATTTGGGAATATTCATTTCACCTTGAATAACTAACTCAATTCACTATTATTCCAGCTAATACTCAACCTCAAAACTTTTAAGTTGAAAAATGGAGACAAAGCTGACAATTAATAAAGTGCAAGTTTATCTAGATTACAGAAGCAACAAATAAAATGTGTCTAGCTTCCTTAGGGAGATCTCCTGGTCCCAGGACGCTGTAGTTGCCGCCTCGTCACTCAAATTCTAGGGTTACTCCTACCTAGAAGAAACTGTCTCAGATGCTGGCTCAGCCCTCCCCACTGGTCGCAGACCCTCTAACTCAATTAGGAGGTGCGTCTTCCTCCTTTCCCCCTTGGCAGATAGCACTCTGTTATAATGGTGTGAGATCCTTGAGGGCAGAAATGGGTCGTAACTTTATGTCCCCTACCCTAGCAGAAAGCTTGGCATATGGGAAGTACTCACTAAATACGTGCTCAATAAAGAACAGATTGACCTTTCTCCTTGAGCTATATTTTACTTGAGGGCAAGGCCTGTCTCACTCATCTTCCATTCTAACAGTGCTCACTCTGAACTTGTACACTGCAGGCTGTGAGGAAGAAATGCCTTTCCACATAAGCCTCCAGACCAGAAAGATCTCTGAGATGTAAATAAGCTTCACTGAGGCCTTTGCGTAAACCAAGCATCCACCATTAGTTCCAGAGGCACTACAGAAGAGAACAGCTGGGAATACCAGTCATGGGAAGAGTGAGAGATTTCAGCCCCAGTAAAGCATTAAGAGTTGGTCAGTAAAAGAAGCTAAGAACCATAAGCCTAGACATCTATGTGAAAAAACTTTCCCGTAACTATGGAACTTGTTCGTGTCTCTAATTTGTCAATGCCTGCTGATTTCCCTGTGGTTAATAGGAATAAAGTCTTGAAGAAAACCCCTAAAGATGTTGTGGTTGGGAGGGGAGAGGCCAAAGCCATGAGACCACATTCTATTAGGAGGCAACCTGTGAGGAACAAAAGGAACTTAGCTGAGAGGGTCAATGAATGGGTTGCGTCCAGGGGAAGGGCAGTGGCTAGAACCCTGAATCTAGACTCCTTAAACCTGGACTTTCCTATTTTGGGGGGTGATATATATATATGGCAGGATGCATTTGAAATGACATCATCAGCATGAAAAATAGAGCATCTATTTCTAGAATGTCAATTTTATTCCAAGATTTGGGAGAGGGGGGTGCAGTGATAGATAGCTTTGTGTTAAAAATGTAACCATGACTAAAATAGAAAATTCAAATGAATTAAGGTAAACCATAAGACCAGGGACCTGAGTCAGTTTTGCTCATTATTCCACATACGCGTTCCCAGGATGGCAAGCCACATAGGACACTTCTGAGTCCTTTCTCCTCAACAGAAGTTTGCTGAGTGGGTGGCCAAAATGTTCACCAGTAAGCTAAAGTTGCTGTTCTCAACAACTTTCTATCACAATTATTTGATGTTTATATACACAAGATATGACAAAACTTCAAAAAATTGTTTAGGGGCCATAATTTATCAATGGCACAACAACTAGCCATAAATAAGTAACAGGTCACCCTCTATGTGAGACAAAGATGGACTGAATAACTGCCAAGTATTAGCCGTATCTCTACCACTTTGTATCCAAGAAAGCCTATCAGATATGCAAGATGATAAGTAATACTTATAAGGATATTTTAAAATATGTCCTAAGTTATTTGTCCAAAAATAAATCATATTACAACTTTGAAATTTCATTATTACCAAGAAAGTACTCATGGATCACCTCCCTGGGTGTGTCCCACACCTACACCTTCAACATCAAAATTTGGCTACCATTCAGGTAGATGTGCTGACCAAGTTAAAACGAGCCTGGGACAGTATTTCTATGAGGAAACTACATGCGACAATTAGAGGGTTCAGAAATCCAAGAGCCTCCTGGAAGGCCTGGACAGAAGGCAATCCTCTGAACACTTGGGGCAAGAAAGGTCACTCTAATAGAAGTGTTCATGTCATCCTAAGGGGAGTCCCCAGAACATGAAACAAGCAGTGCAAGGAGAGGCCACGGAATGGTCTCCGAGCATACTTAACAGCTGCGTCTTTATAGAACATCATCTTGGAGAGCAGGGGTTTTTCTCTGTCATCACTGCTGTATTCCTACTACCTCGCATACAGCCAATTAAATTTGTTGAGTGAATACGTGTTTTGTTATACCACGAGCGACAATAATTTAAACACAAAGTACACTCCTCTATGTATTTCATAACCATGGCAAACTTTTAATCGCAGACTGGCTTCCCAGTCACCAACCAGTCAAGTACCCTCCAAAACTCCTCCTTGGGAAGTATCAGTATTTGAGAAAAGCATGCTCACTCTCTTTGCTCCATTTCTGCAGCCTATAAGACTATTCTCCCCTCTTCTTGCCTTAAAACAAAAAACAACCAAACCAACCCCAAATGCTTCTTTGCTTGTGCAAACCCTCAGGCTTCTACCTCTCCACTCTCCTTCCCAGCGGAGTCGAGCTTCCAATCACTGCCCCTCCTCCCCTTCCTGCAGCAGTGCGGCCAGGTGCCGTCGCTCCTCTAGACTGCTGGTCCTGAGCCAGTCACCGTTGCCTCTGCATTCCCTGTCCACAGGCACTGCTGTTCTCCTCGGACTGTCCTGTCCTCTGCCTTCTAGGTGTCACCTCTCCTGCAGTGTCTCAGGCTCCTTTGCGGGGACTACTCCATTCTTCTCCGGGAAATCCTGACACTCCTCAGGGAGGAATCTGAGCCAGAACTTCCCCACTGCTCTTCAGAGGAATGGATAAGAGCCTGGACCTACCTATCAAGGAATTAAAATTGCCCACAGGAACTCCCCATTCATTCCTCAGTCCTCCACCACTGTGAAAGACTCTGAGCAACCCAGGGTTCAACTGAGCAACTTCAATCCCAAAGGTGGAATTACTATCCACATAATAAGATATAAAATCAATCATATCTTACTTTTCACAAGTTATTTTCTTAAAAGCTGTATCTAAAATACACATAATAAAATGATTTTTAAGAGTTTGACACTGAATCATTCTTCATTTTTTGGGGGGGGCGTCAACTCACATTTTTATTGAGGGCTTTCTTAAAGCACAACAGTATTTCTTTCTTCATTTCTTTTCTTCAATGCCTACGTCATTTGTACCCTAAAAGGACAATCAATAGGCAGTATTCATGAAGCTGTCCTCACATCCAGTATTTACATGAATACTGTCAAATTCACGTAAAACTTAACAATTACCCTTCAGTTTTCTTCAAGAATTTCTCATGAAACTAGCTGCCAGTTATCAACAACTAGAGAACACAAAAACCAAAATACCTCGTTACCTCCCCACCTCTTACCTTGGGATAACTCAGTTCCTAGCACAGTAGTGTGAACACAGTATGTCAGTGAACATGTACTGAGTTAAAGTGAAAGTGTAAGGCTCCATAAACAGCACATACATGAGATTTACAGGACAGCAAACATTACTATTATTATTTAAGAAAACAAAATAACAGAATATCAAAGACACAGTTAAAACAAAGATATTTATCTTGCCTTGAAGGAGATTTCAGTTTTACCCAAGTGACTTTTATATAGTCAAATTCAAAAATAACCTCCTTTATTCTTTGGGGAGGTATAGGGCCAGGAAGATTATTGAATTCCCTCAGGGCCCCCAAGCCCTTTTAATTATCAAAGAAGATGCCTGCTAAATACAAAGTAAAGATCCTATCCTCCACAGGCAGGCATTTGTTAACTTGTATTACCAGTAGAAAACAAACATCAGTAAGAGAATAAATGAACTTAAGTTCATTTAGGCATAATTCTATATTGGATGCTAGCCTTAGATATTAATATCTTTACTCAGATTAGTAGAGGCACAACCAAGAATTAAAACACACCAACTAAAAGAATGCTTAAGTCTGAATTGAGCTTTAAAACCATGAGAAATGACAACTAGCTATTTTTGTAGGACCCACTTATAAAGAGAGCTAATAGCTACATTTGGTTGTAAGGAAATGAATTCCTAAATGCCTGAGGTACCCAAGGCAGCCACCTCGGAGCACGCACTGGGACACTCTGGTGTGAGCTGGAAGAAGCTGCAGAGGAGGAAGGGCGTGTGTACACACAGCAGAGGGCCAGGAGTGTTCACTGTGCCCGTCTACTACTTCACTTGGCTCTGGAGGCCACCTAACTTTTCTGAGGAATTCCCACCCACTGTAAGATGGGAATGATGCCTGTGTCACAGGGCGAGGGTGAGACAAAGTCTGCACAGGCACTGTGGGAAGGTAAAGGCTCCTCAGGTGTTAATGATGGCCGCTTTTAACGCATATGTCCTCCCAAGTACATCTCCCAAAGGTCCCACATTAAGGAAATTCAACCATATTTGCAGCCTGGAGCCTACTTGCTTCCCTGGCACCATAAACACACCGAAGCCTGAACTTATCTGGCCTTATTTTATAAGAACTTCATGTAATAATGAAAAATGTTAAAATGTTTTACAAATGCTTCCTGTATATTCTGAAAGACCTAAGCATTAAAAAAAAGTCATCAACAGATAAGATTTTACTTCAATAAAAGCCAAGAAAGAAAATAAATAACAGATAATGAAATTTGTGCTCCAATATAACTCAAACTCATCTCTTGATTAAAAAAAAATACAAAAATATGTGCAAAAGATTATCGTAAAGATTGCAAACACAATCTTGAACTCAAATTGCTGGGGTTCATACCCAGGCTTCCCCATCCACTAGCTGACAATTTACCTCTCAGAGTCTCTACTTTCTCCTTTGTAAAATGGGAATAAAAACTGTACTTACTTTACAAAAATGGTTGGTGCACGGCTTAAATGAGACAAGCTATATATAATGCAGCCAGTGTACCAGGCACAGGCACAGGCACAGACGCAGTTAACTATTACTGCTACTTCCAGGAAGACAAGCCTGGCAGGACAGTGTGCTGAACTAGGATGGCCTAAGGCGGATGAGGCCTGGGCCACCCCAGCACCACTCCGCACCGCCCTGCGCAGCCTGACAACGACTGAACCTCTCTCACTCCCCCCTGATACTTAGGGAGTCTGAGGTTGGACTTCTGAATTCTAAAACGTAGTGACCATAGTCCTAATGCTTTATTTTTACCCTTTGAAAGCACTTTCATATCCCATCACTTCATTTCTTCTTCTCAAATTCTGGAAGTACAAAAGATACTACTTCTAGTTCACAGATGAGGACAAACTCAAAGTGGTCAAGTAACTTTACTCAATGTCCTGCAGAGATGGTCAGACTGTGGTGGGGTCAGGCCGGAGGTGCCTGAGCCAAAGCTAACACAGTCCATCAGAAGCAGCAGCTGGAGAACAGGTTAAACACCTTTCAATTAAAGACAACTGGCAATTCTCTACCCAAAAGATAAAGGGGGAAAGGAGGAATCAGATATGTCCGTAAGGAATTCCTGAATTTGAACTGCAATTTAATTAGGCTTTTCATCTGGGACACTAAAGTTTTTTATCAGAATAATTTTGGTTTTCAAAGTATTATCCACATTGTCTCATCATCAAATGAGATGATGAATATGGAACTGCTGTCAGAGGGTGAAATAAAGCACTAGGATTTATGGTCACATTAATGTAGGCAATCTCCCAAGTAGGGCTACTAGACTCTAGAGAGGTCAGAGAAGAATTCTTGTGGAATTCATTTGTTTCCGGTTCTTTTTCAGTAGCCCTATATAAGAAATCATAGATAGCTTGAAATACATTAGGATTTTCAAAAGTGTTTAAAAAATGTTTAAAGTTCTAACACACTTCCAAATATTTAATAAGTGAAGAATTAACATGATAACCAAGTTTTTTGAAATGGCAGTCCAAAGGCCCACCTAGTAGTTAGTGTGATTAAATTGGAATTACAAAACAAACAATAGAAAAATATTAAGTTACAAATTTTTTAAAAAAATTCAGGCCTAGGTCTTTTGTGGTCCATCTTCTTCTATTACAGCCTTACTACCTTGGAAGAAGACTGACTAGGTGTTGTAGTTCACTGGTGCAGAGACTGATTCTAGCTACAGCCATCACTGCCACTGCCAGCCCTTCCTGTTCTCCGTCCCATTTCTGATCCAGTCTCCAAAAAACGTCCCGTTGGCTGCTTCTATGCTCCAGCAGGTGAGACTGAGTCAATATCCTTTTGAACAAGTCGTATTATGCAGGAGGAGTTGTTAGTGGAGTCTGAGATGACATGTGCCCCAGAGGCCACCCTGGTACAGCTGCCCCTGCCCGGCATCCAAAGTGAGACCTGGCAATGTTCCACCTCCCAGGCTCATAGGAGAAACTCCAAAATAGTTGTAGGCTGCAGGGGAGCATCTGAAAGCCGCAGCAGCTAAGAGCACTGACATCACCATTTCCCCCATGACAATCCCAGGTGACACAGAATCTGCAGGAGAGTCAGTGATGGCTGTCAGGTCTCAAGTGACTATAGGCTCTGAACCCTAAATTCACATGCATGACCCTAAAAAAAACCAAGATGTTATTCTATTTTCACAGGTAAAAGGAGTCATGGAAGACAGAGCTAGAAAGTTGAAATTATGAAATTTCCAGGATATTTTAATGGCTTATGGAAAGAAGACAAAATACTGTATTTAAAAAGATTTGACACATGTGTCTGCCTAAGCATATGAGAAAGAATGAGCCAACATTTTAAATATATCCTATTCTTTAATCAGAAACTTTTTACAAAACGTAAGTGCTAGCATCAAAGTTTATAATGTAGGCAATCTCCCATAGTACACTTTAAAAAAAACACTCATAGATTAGGTATCAATAGTTGACTGTATCCAACTTTCTATGCCTTTGAACTATTTTTTGTAACAGATTTAAGCACTCTCTGGTTCTAGACAATATAAAATACAGCTCATGTGCTCTACATTCACTCAAAATGATATACTGAGGCAGAGGTAACGCCACCATATGAGGACAAGTCAGCCTCGGAGTAAAGTATGGTATAGGTAATTCAAAATGTAAAGCAGATTTGATCACAAATGCAAACGCTATCAACGCTCAATAAATGATTTATAAAACAAATCATGTATATAACAAGTTATTTTTAATACAGAGCTGAATGATACAGTAAAAAATGTGAGTGCAGTGGCATTACCTTGTTAAAGCTCAGAATTCAGTGTAAGTGGCCTGTGTATGTGTTGGTGGGTTGATGGGTGAGGATAACAGACAGAACTCAGGAAAACAATTCCATCTTGGCTCAGTGTATGGCCATATTCTCTCCTTAGGTAAGAAATTTCTACTAATTTGTTTTCAGTAATTAAAATCTGGGACATTCAGTATTTTGGGGACCTTCAAAAAGAATAAAGCATTATACTACACAATGTAATTCTGAACACATTTCTTTGGCAAGTTGCTGTACTTAGAGATAAGTTGACTTCAGACACTAATGGTTTTATACCTTATCACCCAAACTTGGCCCAGGAAGTAAGAGAAGAGAAAGCAAGAAGTTCTTGAGCATTAACCTTTTCTCTTTGATGCCAAAACTGCCTTTATGGACTCATGCCCAAAAAGGGAAGGTTTTGTTCTCATGTGCTTTGGCACTATTTAAAACTCTCCTAGCAAATCCTCTTGTAGTAAGAGGGAATGTGCCACTACCCACTTATAAAACTGCAGGATGATTTCAGCTTGATTGTGTAAATGGCAGTCTAGCTGTCATTTTTGGTGACAAAACTTTGCCAGTTAAACACAATCATGATAGCTATAAGAATGATGATGCTAAGGCAACCAAGACCCAAAGGGACTTTGCTCTATTTCTTTTCACAACCTTGTCTGGAAATCATGTGCTGGTAGCCAGGTGCTCCCAAATATTTGAATAGCTGATCAGGTTATTCAGAAGGAGGAACTGCACAGGTTGTGACAGAAGCAGAAGGGTCAGGTATTCTTCACCACCAGGAATCTAAGACAAACAACGATTCCTACTGCATGTCAGTGTGCTGCTGAACAATGAATTACGAGCAGCTGCAGTTCTGTATGTGAGGAACAGCAATGGGCAAGAGTTTTGTGTGACTCTGCTTCAAGTTGGTAAAATC